TTAAGAAATCCAATCAAAGTGATTTTCTTTTTTTATGAAAAGACGTTATGTTTCTACTTTACCTTGTAACATTCCCCATAATAATCCAACGCGACTCCTCTGAAATTGTAAGCACAAAATTACGTTTATAATGTAATTAAAATATTTGGATTGTTTGTAATATGTACGGACATATTTAAAGTTAATATACAACCAGACATTTTAGTCTCGTCGATTTGCTCTACTTTCGCCCCTGGAAAATAGGGGGGATTCGATTGTGGATAAAATATGTTAAATACAAAGTAACAGAAAACACGGCGTTTCAAAGCGGTATTTAATGTTTACTGTTTATCTGAAATGACAGTTCATTGTTTTCGAAAGTCTGAAAGAAAAGGGGAAAATTTCTGTTGTGCAAATACCTAACAAAGAGTGATGACACAAAGTCAAAACTAGAAACTTGTTTTTGGGCACAAAAAACATATGTCTCCCCTTATTACCCAATAGACATACTTCGGTTTAAAAAAATAACAACAGGCCATATATCTTTATATACTGGCGCACGAGTCTCGAGTTTAGAATGCCACATTTGTACTTCCCAATATACATAGCTATAGCAAATTTGGTCAACGTAGGTGTAATAACATGGAAGTTATGCCTTGGACAAACTTCGGTATTAAAAATAAACAAAGGGCCATCATTTTATGTATAGTTGGATACGATACCCGATTTCAGTGCGAGTGATTCCGCCTTCCCAGGATAAATAAATATGGTAAGTTTGGTCAACATAGGTGAAATAACATGGAACTTATTCTCAGGACAAACTTTGATATAAAAAATAAACAAAGGGCAATAACTCTGTATATAGTGGGGTACGATACATACTTTTATTGCCCTGCAACTCTCTGTGGGTGATGCAAGTATACTTTAAGTTTGATTAAGATATCTTTAACGGTTTATAAGTTATGCCATGGACAAACTTCGATATAAAAAATAAACAAAGGGTCATAACTCTGTATATAGTGAGACACAAAACCCGATTGCAGTGCTAAAGATTCGCCTTCCCAAGAAACATAAATATGGTAAGTTTGGTCAACGTAGGTGACATAACATGGAACTTATTCTCCGGACAAACTTTGGTATTAAAATATACAAAGAGCGATAACTCTGTATATAATGAAGCACGAGACCAAATTTCATTACACTGCACACCTTCTGTTGGTGATACATGCATACCCCTAGTTTAATCAAGACATCTTAAACGGTTTAAATGTTAAAGCCCGGATAAGTTGCGATTAGAAGAACAAGAACAAGAACCAGAAGAAGAAGAAGAACCAGTACTAATACAATATGTCTCCCTTCATGCGAAGGGGAGACATACTAAGGAATTTGGCAATAAATGTATTGTGAACTTACTTGCAGTTCATGGTACAATCGTTAGCGTAGGTATTTCCATCAATTCCACAGACAGGATCCCAATTCGCCGGGCAAACACAAACCTGTGCATATTTGTAAGAAATAAGAGAATAACAAAAGGGTAAACAAAACCATAATTCGAATTCATATTGACTTTTATTAAAAGAAAGATCTACACTGACGTTAAAAGGCCATGTGTCCAAGAAGGATAAGTCTTTTTCTGCTGTAACAACGACACATGCAATGTAAGTCTCGGAGATATTCATTGTTGACAGCGAAGTTACAAAGTACACTTATGAGCGTCGATACACAGCTTCCCCATAGTTTGACGGAAATGGAGAACAAGAACATGATGTAGCGTAAGAAAGAATACAAGAATTTTTTTTCAGTGATTTGTTTTTACCTCAAGGGGTCATTAAATCCGACCTCAAGGTTAAACGGTGAAATGCAGACAAAGTGCTATTTTTATTTTCCTTCGATATTTTACGAAGCTTTACACGAAAAGATACGACACGTAAAATATATGTATCTTTTTATTTACTTTGTTAGTGGTTTATCTTTAAGGCATATGGTGGAACTGTTTCATTTAACAAATGGTTAGTTGTTTGGCATATCATGACACTGAATGCTGAAGAGAACAGAACGAATAAAGTTACAACTATTCACACCTTGTTATTAAAAGTACACATACATGTGGCACTATTTTTGATAGAATCTTTTTCAGTTGACTTGGTGACTACAAAGTAAGTGATACCACTTCCTACGAAAACGCTATTTTATTACTTTACCTTGTTACAGTTTCCGTAATAATCCAAAGAAACCCCTCTGAAATGGTAACACAAATATGTATCAAATTGCCGAGTGAATCGAAAATTGAGGTAAAAGATAGGGATTCAAGTGACATAATCTGTAGTTATTAAAAGAAAGCAGGCGATATGTTCTGAGAGTTTGTTTTGCCATTTCATGTTTGAAATGGAGGTTATATATGTTTAGGAATAACATAAATGGAACGCCAGTTGTTATACTTCACCTTTACCTCAAAACACCTTACCATTGTATATAAACTCAATGAGTGATACCATATATAGGTTACGCACTCGTGAATAATATCAAAATATTAGCCACACGAGTGAAATATATCTGTTACTACTGAAGACACAATTAAATTCTCTATTAATTACATTTTTAAAGCATAAAATATGAAAAATGTAATGCATTGAAAAAAGGGCGGGGATCAGAAGCGTACTAATTAGCGCCATATTCTTGTGACATCACGCTCGACAGCAAGCCTGCACGCCATTTTGAATGGGATACTCAACGCAATTCCGACGTTTTCTGCCTTTTTCTAGTATGATTGCTTATAGTAATGTTATTAACTGTATATTTATTTAAATACTTAAGTGTGTGAATCAAACATTTACCATAGCAACCACTTATTCTTCCGTCGATTCATTTGAATCTGAACAATTATCGTTGCCTTTGAATGCAGCGAATAGAAGATACCGTTATGATTGGCCAATACCAAAATGGGATATTTTCACACTGTGAAAATATCACTTTTGATATTTGCCACAGTTTGAAAGATATCAGTTTTATCAAGTTGGTAGAATCCGATATTTCACTGGCAAAAAAGTAAGAAATATTATTAACTTATATAACATAGATGTGACGGTGTTCTTAAAACCCCTTCAGCATGGACAATATCAATATTGATAAAAGTACATTGGACATATACACATTTCTTTTTTATCTTTTCAGTCATTGCATCCTGCAGAAATAGTTATAATTAATTCAATCTGCATTTACATTTGTTTTGCGAATTTCATGTTAAATGAAAACATGGAAGTTTTTATAATTGTTCCAATCATTGTTCCCTTTTATTCTTTATACTGGTGATACAATTTAAAAAAATATGCACAACACTACTGAATATATCATCTAAAAAGCAATATAATTTATTTACACTTACTCGCATCTCATGAGACACTCATTATTGTAGGTATTTCCATCCACTCCACACACGGGATCTAAAATCTTTTGGCATCCGCAAAGCTACAATAATATGTACGAATACTACGTTGTAATATCATAAACATTATCTCAATATTTCTTCATTTAATGATTCCGTGGTCAAATCGATTCTGAGGTCAAATAACGGTATTCCTTCGATTCGTGAGCACGATTACATGATTAAAATGTACAAACTATGTTTTATCTATTTTTTTGCAAATATTTGTATACTTAAGAAATCCAATCAAAGTGATTTTCTTTTTTTATGAAAAGACGTTATGTTTCTACTTTACCTTGTAACATTCCCCATAATAATCCAACGCGACTCCTCTGAAATTGTAAGCACAAAATTACGTTTATAATGTAATTAAAATATTTGGATTGTTTGTAATATGTACGGACATATTTAAAGTTAATATACAACCAGACATTTTAGTCTCGTCGATTTGCTCTACTTTCGCCCCTGGAAAATAGGGGGGATTCGATTGTGGATAAAATATGTTAAATACAAAGTAACAGAAAACACGGCGTTTCAAAGCGGTATTTAATGTTTACTGTTTATCTGAAATGACAGTTCATTGTTTTCGAAAGTCTGAAAGAAAAGGGGAAAATTTCTGTTGTGCAAATACCTAACAAAGAGTGATGACACAAAGTCAAAACTAGAAACTTGTTTTTGGGCACAAAAAACATATGTCTCCCCTTATTACCCAATAGACATACTTCGGTTTAAAAAAATAACAACAGGCCATATATCTTTATATACTGGCGCACGAGTCTCGAGTTTAGAATGCCACATTTGTACTTCCCAATATACATAGCTATAGCAAATTTGGTCAACGTAGGTGTAATAACATGGAAGTTATGCCTTGGACAAACTTCGGTATTAAAAATAATCAAAGGGCCATCATTTTATGTATAGTTGGATACGATACCCGATTTCAGTGCGAGTGATTCCGCATTCCCAGGATAAATAAATATGGTTAGTTTGGTCAACATAGGTGAAATAACATGGAACTTATTCTCAGGACAAACTTCGGTATTAAAAATAAACAAAGGGCAAAAACTCTGTATATAGTGGGGTACGATACATAATTATATTGCACTGCACACCCTCTGTGGGTGATGCAAGTATACTTTAAGTTTGATTAAGATATCTTTAACGGTTTATAAGTTATGCCATGGACAAACTTCGATATAAAAAATAAACAAAGGGTCATAACTCTGTACATAGTGAGACACAAAACCCGATTGCAGTGCGAGAGATTCCGCCTTCCCAAGAAACATAAATATGGTAAGTTTGGTCAACGTAGGTGACAAAACATGGAACTTATTCTCCGGACAAACTTCGGTATTAAAATAAACAAAGAGCGATAGCTCTGTATATAATGAAGCACGAGACCAAATTTCATTACACTGCACACCTACTGTTGGTGATACATACATACCCCTAGTTTGATCAAGATATCTTTAACGGTTTAAAAGTTAAAGCCCGGATAAGGTGCGATTAGAAGAACAAGAACAAGAACCAGAGTAAGAAGAAGAACCAGTACTAATACAATATGTCTCCCTTCATGCGAAGGGGGGACATACTAAGGAATTTGGCAATAAATATATTGTGAACTTACTCGCAGTTCATGGTACAATCGTTAGCGTAGGTATTTCCATCAATTCCACAGACAGGATCCCAATTCGCCGGGCAAACACAAACCTGTGCACATTTGTAAGAAAAAAGAGAATAATAAAAGGGTAAACAAAACCATAATTCGAATTCATATTGAATTTTATCAAAAGAAAGATCTACACTGAGGTTAAAAAAGGCCATGTGTCCAAGAAGCGTAAGGCTTTTTCTGCTGTTACAACGACACATACAATGTAAGTCTCGGAGATATACATTGTTGACAGCGAAGTTACAAAGTACACTTATGAGCGTCGATACACAGCTTCCCCATAGTTTGACGGAAATGGAGAACAAGAACATGATATAGCGTAAGAAAGAATGAAAAAAATTATTTCAGTGATTTCTTTCTACCGCAGGGGGGCATTAAATACGACCTCAAGGTTAAACGGTGAATTGCAGACAAAGTGCTATTTTTATTTTCCTTCGATATTTTACGAAGCTTTACACGAAAAGATACGACACGTAAAATATATGTATCTTTTTATTTACTTTGTTAGTGGTTTATCTTTTAGGCATATGGTGAAACTGTTTCATTTAACACATGGTTAGTTGTTTGGCATATAATGACACTGAATGCTGAAGAGAACAGAACGAATAAAGTAACAACTATTCACACCTTGTTATTAAAAGTACACATACATATGGCTCTATTTTTGATAGAATCTTTTTCAGTTGACTTGGTGACTACAGAGTAAGTGATACCACTTCTTACGAAAACTCTATTTCATTACCTTACCTTTTTACAGTTTCCGTAATAATCCAAAGAAACCCCTCTGAAATGGTAACAAAAATATATATCAAATAGCCGAGGATTGCATTCTAATTCATGACGATGGAAGAGTGATTCGAAAATTGAGGAAAAAGATAGGGATTCAAGTGACATAATTTGTAGTTATTTAAATTAAGCAGGCGATAGGTTCAGAGAATTTATTTAGTCATTCTATGTTTGAAATGCAGGTTATATATGTTTAGGAATAACATAAATGGAACGCCAGTTGTTATACTTCACCTTTACCTCAAAATACCTCACCATTATATATTGACTCAATGAGTGATACCATATATAGGTTACGCACTCGTGAAAAATATCAAAATATTAGCCACACGAGTGAAATATATCTGTTACTACTGAAGACACCATTACATTATCTATTTATTACATTTTTAAAGCATAAAACTTGAAGAAAGAATTAAAAAGGGGCGGGGATCAGAAGTGTACTAATTAACGCCATATTCTAGTGACATCATGCTCGACAGCAAGGCTACGCGCCATTTTGAATAGGATACTCAACGCAATTCCGACGTTTTCTGCCATTTTCTGGTATGATTGCTTATACTCATGTTATTAATTGTATATTTATGTAAATACTTAAGCGTGTGTACCAAACATTTACCATAACAACCACTTATTCTACCGTCGCTTCATTTGAATCTGAACAAAAAATCGTTGCCTTTGAATGCAGCGAATAGAAGATACCGTTATGATTGGTCAATACCAAAAAGGGATATTTTCACATATCACTTTTGATATTTGCCACAGTGTGAAAGATATCAGTTTTATAACGTTTATAGAATCCGATATTTCACTGGCAAAAATTTAATAATATTATTAACTTATATAACGTAGATGTGACATCCTTCATTCGAAAGGGATACATAATAAGCAACTTGGCACTAAATATATTGTGAACTTACTCGCAGTTCATGGTACACTCGTTGGGGTAGGTATTTCCATCAATTCCACAGATTGGATCCCAACTCGCCGGGCAAGCACAAACCTGTGCATAATTTAAGACATAAGAGAATAACAAAAGGGTAAACAAAACCATTATTCGAATTCATATTGAGTATTATTGAAAGGAAGATCTACAATGAGGTTAAAAAGGCCACGTGTCCAAGAAGGGTAAGGCTACTTCTGCTCTAACAACGACACGTGCAATGTAGGTCTCGGAGATATACATTGTTGACAGCGAAGTTACAAAGTACACTTATGAGCGTCGATACACAGCTTCCCCATAGTTGGACGGAAATGTAAAACAAGAACATGATATAGCGTAAGCAAGAATGAAAGTATTTTATTTCAGTGATTTGTTTCTACCGCATGAGGTCATATAATACAACCTCAAGGTTGAATGGTGAAATGCAGTTAAAGTGCTATTCTTGTTTTCTTTCGATACTTTATAGAACTTTACTCGAAAGAATACGACACGTAAAACATATGTTTCTTTTTATTTATTTTGTTAGTGATTTTATCTTTTAGGCATATGGTGAAACTGTTTCATTTAACACATAGTCAGTTATTCGGCATATAATGACATTGAATGTTGAAGAGAACAGAACGAATAAAGTTGCAATGATTCACATCTTGTTATTAAAAGTACACATATATATGGCTCTATTTTTGATAGAATCTTTTTCAGTTGACATGGTACCCAAAAAGATAGTGATAACACTTCCTACGAAAACGCTATTTTATTACCTTACCTTGTTACAGTTTCCGTAATAATCCAAAGAAACCCCTCTGAAACGGTAAATAAAATATATATGAAATTGCCGAGGATTCCATTCTAATTCATGACGATGGAAGAGTGGTTCGAAAATTGAGGTAAAAGATAGGGATTCAAGTGACAAAATTTGTAGTTATTAAAAGAAAGCAGGCGATATGTTCAGAGGATTTTAGATATTTTCTAAACTGTTGATGATTGTTTGTTTAACCATTTAAAATGCAGGTTATATATGTTAAGGAATAACATAAATGGAACGCCAGGTGTAATACTTCATCTTTACCTCAAAATGCCTTACCATTGTATATTGACTCAATGAGTGATACCATATATAGGTTACGCACTCGTGAAAAATATCAAAATATTAGCCACACGAGTGAAATATATCTGGTAATACTCAAGACAGCATTAAAGTCTCTATTTATTACATTTTTAAAACATGAAACATGAAAAATGAAATGCATTTAAAAAGGGCGGGAATCAGAAGCGTACTTATTACTGCAATATGCTAGTGATAGTGACGTCACGCTTGACAACAAGGCTGTGCGCCATTTTGAATAGCATACTCAACGCAATTCCGACACTGATATTTCACTGGCAAAAACTTAATAATATTATTAACTTATATAACGTAGATGTGACATCCTTCATTCGAATGGGAGACATAATAAGTATCTTGACACTAAATATATTGTGAACTTACTCGCAGTTCATGGTACACTCGTTGGGGTAGGTATTTCCATCCATTCCACAAACAAGATCCAAAATTAGTGGACAAGCACAAACCTACAAATGTAATTAATTAATAAGAAAAATAACAATGTGGTAAGAAAACCATAATTGGTACTCAACATCGAGCACAAAGTCTTCTTAAATACGACTATACTTGTTCTCAATCAGGCTATGTTGAAGAACATAAAATTGGTCATGTACTAAAAATCCTGTGCCGTTATGTTGTCGATCACTATTTGGCAACTATCATATATATCATAAAATCTGGACAGACCCTTGAATATCGAAGCAATAGTAACATGTGAACATCGTAGATGTGGTTAAATGGGTGTGAGTAAGGAGATTAAAGGGGTGTGAGTGAGGGAAAGTTTACGATCGGAAAATCGAAAGTGATTTGTTTCTCATACAGCATAGTATTGAGTAGTTCAGTTGGTACTGTTTGTTAGTAAAACGCGATGTTAGTAGCTTGTGAGGAATACTCTTTCGTACTGAATGTTTGGTTTCACGTTAAGGAGTGTATATATGATCTATATGTCGTCATTGATTTGTATATTATTTTAACGACAACCATCTAATCATCTCTTTATCATATGCCCATCTATTATGCAGTAGTTTGGAAACCGGTTTGTTTCTAGCACCGAAAATAACACAATCTCAAAACGTAACGATAAATATATATTGGAGTGTAACATCTAACTACATCTTGAATCTGCGAACAATAATTTACGCAAAGTTACTCGACAATATATGTCGCGTAAAGAAATATACACTCCTCTGTTAGGTAAAAAAATAAAGTAAGTTAACGAAAGGGCAATGGCTTTGTATTCAACAGTTTCCATTATTGAAACATGATAGAGCTTAAATATATGGATAGTATGTTTACGTATAGTATCTACGTTCATTTTTACGAATAGTTTCTGCGTTCATTTTTACGTATAGTATCTGCGTTCATGTTTACGTATAGTATCTGCGTTCATGTTTACGTACAGTATCTGCGTTCATGTTTACGTATAGTTTTTGCGTTCGTATAAACGTATATAGTATTAACGTTCATAATTATATTTACATGTCTCCATTCTTCAGCTTACTACGTTTGGTACAGATACGTTTGATACAGATACTTTTGGTACATATACGTTTGGTACATATACGTTTGGCACATATGCGTTTGGTCCAAATACGTTTGGTACAGAAACGTTTGGTACAGATACGTTTTGTACAAATATGTTTGGTACAACCGTTTGGCACAGATACGTTAGGTGCGGATACGTTTGGTACGACCGTTTGGCACAGATACGTTAGGTGCGGATACGTTTGGTACAGATACGTTTGGTACAGGTACATTTGGTCCAAATACGTTTGGTGTTTGGTACAGATGCGTTTGGTCCCAATACGTTTGGTACAGATGCGTTTGGTCCGAATACGTTTGGTACAGATACGTTCGGTACGTTCGTTATGTACATTTACGTTATGTACATTTACGATTGGTACATATACGTTAGATACGGATACCTTTGGTACAGATACGTTAGGTACATATACGTTTGGTACGTCCGTTAGATACAGTTTCGTTTCGTACCGATACGTTTGGTACATTGATTATGTTCTATAAACAGCAAAGATAAATTTTGGGAATATTCGGTCTCAGTTTGTCTGAATACAGTATATGTATATAAGATCTAGGTGTGTCTGTATACAGGATGTTTAAAAGGTCACAGTTTGTCTGTATACAGTATATGTATATAAGGTCCAAGTGTGTATGTACACGGTATATGTATTTAAGGTTTAAGTGTGTCTGGACACAGTATATGTATATAAGGTCTAGCTGTGTCTGTACATGGTATATGTATTTATGGTCTTGGTGTGTCTGTTCACAGGATATGTACATACTATTTAGGAGTGTCTGTACATCGGCTATGTAAATATCTTGTATGGTCTAGGTGTGTCTGTACATGGGATATGTAGATACATTGTATGGTCTAGGTGTGTCTGTACACAGGATATGTAGATGCGTTCTTCTTGTGTCTGTACACACGATGTGTAGATAAGGTCTCAGTTTGTCTGTATACAGGATATATAAATACGTTCTACGTGTGTCTTTACACATGATATGTACATAATGTTTAGGTGTGTCTGTACATGGGATATGTAGATACATTGTATGGTCTAGGTGTGTCTGTACACAGGATGTTTAGATAAGGTCTCAATTGTCTGTATACAGGATATATAAAATTCTAGCAATTCCAAGAAAATTACTATTGAACTTTTTTTTTACCTTATTACAGTCTCCGTAATGGTCAAGGGAAACTCCTCTGAAATCATGAAAATATTCAATGTGTATTTTCCTGATTTATGTTATTGTTTATTACCTGAGCCTTTATTCCCCAATATATTTTCACTATTTCATATTGTATTACCGTTTGTTTTGCAATTGAACAAGAGCTTAATTCAAAATCCAAATATTGAGCTAATGAACATATTGCAGATTACAGTTGACAGTAGAGAACATCACTGCTTCGTTATAAGTAATATTTTGTATTTTAACACAGGATATAATCAAATGCAGTGTAATTTAATAACATGAATATTCAAAGAATCAAACTATAACAGAAAAGGCTAAAAGATGATATAAGTAAAGATATCATAAACGACAAAATGTTAACGAAAAAAGTATAATTTTGCCTGCATATACACAGCAAAGATTGACGATACTTATTCAAACAATAAAATTAAATCATGCTTACTCGCAGGACATGGTACACTCGTTAGGGTAGGTGTTACCATCTATTCCACAGACAGGATCCATATTCAGTGGGCACCCACAAAGCTAACAAATATTTTTTGAAGAAATAGAATAATTTGTTTTTAACACATTTGAGTATAACCACAAACTGAATTATTCTAAAACGAATTTCGTTATCTTAAGACAACATTATTACCTTTAATCTTTTTTTTTTGTCTGTACACAGGATGTGTAGATAAGGTCTAGGTTCGTCTGTACACAGGATGTGTATATAAGGTCGAGGTGTGTATGTTCACAGGATATGTACATACTATTTAGGTGTGTCTGTACATCGGATATGTAAATACCTTGTATGGTCTAGGTGTGTCTGTACCCAGGATGTGTAGATAAGGTCTTAATTGGTCTGTATACAGGATGTGTAAATCAAATCTATGTATGTCTGTACACTGGATGATTAGATAAGGTCTAGGTGTGTCTGTTCACCGGATATGTATACAAGTTATAGGTGTGTCTGTAGACAGGATGTGTATATAAGGTCTAGTCTAAGTGTGTCTGTACACGGTATATGTATATAAGGTTTAAGTGTGTCTGTACACAGTATATGTATATAAGGTCTAGGTGTGTCTGGACACAGTGTATGTATGTAAGGTCTAGGTGTGTCTGGACACAGTATATGTATATAAGGTCTAGCTGTGTCTGTACACAGGATGTGTATATAAGGTCTAGGTGTGTCTGTACACAGGATATGTATATAAGGTCGAGGTGTGTATGTTCACAGGATATGTAAATTCTATTTAGGTGTGTCTGTACCCAGGATATGCAAGTCCTACATCAAGATATTAAATAATTTGAGCAAACATGATTGCATGTGTTGATTATAATTTCTGGCAATTCCAAGAAAATTACTATTGAACTATTTTTTTACCTTATTACAGTCTCCGTAATGGTCAAGGGAAACTCCTCTGAAATCATGAAAATATTCAGTGTGTATTTTTTTAATTTATGAAAATCAGTTATTGTTTATTACCTGAGCCGTTTTTGCCCCATTTATTTTCACATATTTCATATTGTAATACCGTTTGTTTTGTAATTGAACAAGAGCTTAATTCAAAATCCAAATGTTGAGCTAATGAACTTATTGCAGATTACAGTTGACAGGAGAGAACATCACTGCTTCGTTATAAGTAATATTTTATATTTTAACACAGGATATAATCAAATGGAGTGTAATTTAATAACATAAATATTCAAAGAGTCATAATATAACAGAAAAGGCTAAAAAATGATATAAGTAAAGATATCATAAACGATAAAATGTTAACGAAAAAAGTATAATTTTGCCTGCATATACACAGCAAAGATTGACAATACTTATTCAAACAATAAAATTAAATCATGCTTACTCGCAGGACATGGTACACTCGTTAGGGTAGGTGTTGCCATCTATTCCACAGACAGGATCCATATTCAGTGGGCACCCACAAAGCTAACAAATATGTTATGAAGAAATAGAATCATTTGTTTTTAACATAATTGATTATAACCACAAACTGAATTATCCTAATACGAATTTCGTTATCTTAAGACAACATTATTACCTTTAACTTTTTTTGTCTGTACACAGGATGTGTAGATAAGGATAGGTTTGTCTGTACACAGGATGTGTATATAAGGTCGATTTGTGTATGTTCACAGGATATGTACATACTATTTAGGTGTGTCTGGACATCGGATATGTGAATACCTTGTCTGGTCTAGGTGTGTCTGTACCGAGGATGTGTAGATAAGGTCTAAGTTTGTCTGTATACAGGATGTGTATATAAGGTCGAGGTGTGTATGTTCACAGGATATGTACATACTATTTAGGTGTGTCTGGACATCGGATATGTGAATACCTTGTCTGGTCTGGGTGTGCCTGTACCGAGGATGTGTAGATAAGGTCTAAGTTTGTCTGTATACAGGATGTGTAAATCAGATCTTTGTATGTCTGTACATAGGATGTGTAGATAAGGTCTAGGTGTGTCTGTTCACCCGATATGTATACAAGTTATAGGTGTGTCTGTACACAGGATGTGTATATAAGGTCTAGGTGTGTCTGTACATAGAATGTGTATGTAAGGTCTAGGTGTGTCTGTACAAAGATATGTATATAAGGTCTAGGTGTGTCTGTACACGGTATATGTATTTAAGGTCTAGGTGTGTCTGGACACAGTATATGTACATAAGGTCTAGCTGTGTCTGTACATGGTATATGTATTTATAGTCTTGGTGTGTCTGTACACATGATATGTACATACTGTTAAGGTGTGTCTGTGCATGGGATATGTAGATACATTGTATGGTCTAGGTGTGTCTGTACACAGGATGTGTAGATAAGGTCTCAGTTGGTCTGTATGTCGGATATATAAATACGTTCTACGTGTGTCTGTACACATGATATGTACATAATGTTTAGGTGTGTCTGTACATTGGATATGTATATACATTGTATGATCTACGTGTGTCTGTACACATGATATGTACATAATGTTTAGGTGTGTCTGTACATTGGATATGTATATACATTGTATGATCTACGTGTGTCTGTACACATGATATGTACATAATGTTTAGGTGTGTCTGTACATTGGATATGTATATACATTGTATGATCTACGTGTGTCTGTACACATGATATGTACATAATGTTTAGGTGTGTCTGTACATTGGATATGTATATACATTGTATGATCTACGTGTGTCTGTACACATGATATGTACATAATGTTTAGGTGTGTCTGTACATTGGATATGTATATACATTGTATGATCTACGTGTGTCTGTACACATGATATGTACATAATGTTTAGGTGTGTCTGTACATTGGATATGTTTATACATTGTATGATCTACGTGTGTCTGTACACATGATATGTACATAATGTTTCGGTTTGTCTGTACATGGGATATGTAGATACAGTGTATGGTCTAGGTGTGTCTGTACATAGGATGTGTAGATAAGGTCTCAGTTTGTCTGTATACAGGATATATAAATAAGTTTCTGGCAATTCCAAGAAAATTACTATTGAACTAATTTTTTTTACCTTATTACAGTCTCCGTAATGGTTAAGGGAAACTCCTCTGAAATCATGAAAATATTCAATGTGTATTTTTTTAATTCATGAAAATCAGTTATTGTTTATTACCTGAGCCTTTATTCCCCCATTTATTTTCACTATTTCATATTGTAATACCGTTTGTTTTGCAATTGAACAAGAGCTTAATTCAAAATCTAAATGTTGAGCTAATGAAAATATTGAAGATTACAGTTGACACACCTAAATAGTATGTACATATCCTGTGAACATACACACCTCGACCTTATATACACATCCTGTGTACAGACAAACCTAGACCTTATCTACACATCCTGTGTACAGACAAAACAAGTTAAAGGTCTGTACATAGGNATTATAACCACAAACTGAATTATTCTAATACGAATTACGTTATCTTAAGACAACATTATTACCTTTAACTTGTTTTGTCTGTACACAGGATGTGTAGATAAGGTCTAGGTTTGTCTGTACACAGGATGTGTATATAAGGTCGAGGTGTGTATGTTCACAGGATATGTACATACTATTTAGGTGTGTCTGGACATCGGATATGTGAATACCTTGTATGGTCTAGGTATTTCTGTACGCAGGATGTGTAGATAAAGTCTAAGGTTGTCTGTATACAGGATGTGTTAATCAAATATATGTATGTCTGTACATAGGATGTGTAGATAAGGTCTAGGTGTGTCTGTTCACCGGATATGTATACAAGTTATAGGTGTGTCTAGGTATAGGTGTGTCTGTACATAGAATGTGTATATAAGGTCTAGGTGTGTGTGTACAAAGAGATGTATATAAGGTCTATCTTAAGACAACATTATTACCTTTAACTTGTTTTGTCTGTACACAGGATGTGTAGATAAGGTCTTAGTTTGTCTGTATACAGGATATATAAATAAGTTTCTGGCAATTCCAAAAAAAATACTATTGAACTATTTTTTTTTACCTTATTACAGTCTCCGTAATGGTCAAGAGAAACTCCTCTGAAATCATGAAAATATTCAATGTGTATTTTTTCTAATTTATGAAAATCAGTTATTGTTAATTACCTGAGCCTTCATTCCCCCATTTATTTTCACTATTTCATATTGTAATACCGTTTGTTTTGCAATTGAACAAGAGCTTAATTCACAATCCAAATGTTGAGCTAATGAAAATATTGCAGATTACATTTAACAGCAGAGAACATCACTGCTTCGTTATAAGTAATATTTTGTATTTTAACACAGGATATAATCAAATGCAGTGTATTTAATAACATGAATATTCAAAGGATCAAACTATTGTAGAAAAGGCTAAAATATTATATAAGTAAAGATATCATAAACGATAAAATGTTAACGAAAAAAGTATAATTTTGCCTGCATATACACAGCAAAGATTGACGATACTTATTCAAATAATAAAATTAAATCATGCTTACTCGCAGGACATGGTACACTCGTTAGGGTAGGTGTTTCCATCTATTCCACAGACAGGATCCATATTCAGTGGGCACGCACAAAGCTAACAAATATGTTATGAAGAAATAGAATAATTTGTTTTTAACACAATTGAGTATAACCACAAACTGAATTATTCTAATACGAATTTCGTTATCTTAAGACAACATTATTACCTTTAACTTTTTTTTGTCTGTACACAGGATGTATAGATAAGGTCTAGATTAGTCTGTACAAAGGATGTGTATATAAGGTCGATTTGTGTATGTTCACAGGTTATGTACATACTATTAAAGTGTGTCTGTACATCGGATATGTGAATACCTTGTATGGTCAAGGTATGTCTGTACGCAGGATGTGTAAATAAGGTCTAAGTTTGTCTGTATACATGATGTGTTAATCGGATATATGTATGTCTGTACATAGGATGTGTAGATAAGGTCTAGGTGTGTCTGTTCACCGGATATGTATGCAAGTTATAGGTATGTCTGTACACAGGATGTGTATATAATGTCTAGGTGTGTCTGTACATATAATGTGTATATAAGGTCTAGGTGTGTCTGTACAAAATATGTATATAAGGTCTAAGTGTGTCTGTACACGGTATATGTATATGAGGTTTAAGTGTGTCTGTACACAGTATATGTATTTAAGGTCTAGGTGTGTCTGGACACGGTATATGTACATAAGGTCTAGCTGTGTTTGTACATGGTATATGTATTTATGGTCTTGGTGTGTCTGTACACATGATATGTATATACTGTTTAGGTGTGTCTGTACATGGGTTATGTAGATACATTGTATGGTCTAGGTTTGTCTGTACACAGGATGTGTAGATAATGTCTCAGTTTGTCTGTATACAGGATATATAAGTAAGTTTCTGGCAATTCGAAGAAAATTACTATTGAACTATTTTTTTTACCTTATTACAGTCTCCATAATGGTCAAGGGAAACTCCTCTGAAATCATGAAAATATTCAATGTGTATTTTTTTAATTTATGAAAATCAGTTATTGTTAATTACCTGAGCCTTTATTGCCCCATTTATTTTCACTATTTCATATTGTAATACCGTTTGTTTTGCAATTGAACAAGAGCTTAATTCAAAATCCAAATGTTGAGCTAATGAAAATATTACAGATTACAGTTGACAGTAGAGAACATCACTGCTTCGTTATAAGTAATATTTTATATTTTAACACAGGATATAATCAAATGCAGTGTATTTAATAACATGAATATTCAAAGGATCAAACTATAGTAGAAAAGGCTAAAAGATGATAGAAGTAAAGATATCATAAACGATAAAATGTTAACGAAAAAAGTATAATTTTGCCTGCATATACACAGCAAAGAATGACGATACTTATTCAACCAATAAAATTAAATCATGCTTACTCGCAGGACATGGTACACTCGTTAGGGTAGGTGTTACCATCTATTCCACAGACAGGATCCATATTCAGTGTGCACCCACAAAGCTAACAAATATTTTTTGAAGAAATAGAATAATTTGTTTTTAACACAATTGAGTATAACCACAAACTGAATTATTTTAATCCGAATTTCGTTATCTTAAACAACATTGACCCCATGTTTTTTAAATATGGAAAAATGTAAGCGGGCGTAATGTCTTAAAACTTAAAGGTAGAGACATGTTCAATATCATTCCTGGAATAATAATCAAAATGAATTCGTTAAATAATCAAGCACAGCTAAATTTGGTGTTATCTTTCATTCTATCATAGAGAAAATTTTAATATTTTAAACTAATGTTAAAACACTGATCACTTACGGCAGCTTTCACCATCATTGGTGTCATCAGTACGCCCACCACGAACAGGACAGTCAAAGATATCATCATCATCTTACGCCTGTAATGGATTTCAGTGTTATGTTCATATATGTTTCTACTGCTGTGCCAGATGACTAATAAATCCGATTAGAATAAAATAGTACAAATGATATCAATACTATTGGTATAACGTAGTACTCGTGATATTAATTTTAATGAGACTACATTAAACAATCGATATTGGTATTACATAGTAATAGTGTTTTATTGATTATGTTTTGTACCATATGGTCCTAATCATACTAATTTGATTTGCATTACCTGGTACAAGTGATATTGTATATGATGGTATTACATATAAACAGTGATATTTATAAAGTGTGCATTTTATGGGTCTAATCATAATGATATAATTGGCATAACCTGTGATATTGTATATGATGGTATGACATAGAAATACTGATATTTATAATGTGTGCATTTTATGGTTCTAATCATATTGATTTAACTGGCATTAAATTGCACAAATGAAATAACCAAATATGTTGGTATTTCATGGTACATGTGATATGAATTATAAGTGTATTAAATGGTTCTAATCATATTAATTTAATTGACATTACATGGTACAAATGAAATTATAAAATATGTTGGTATTTCATGGTACAAGTGATATTAATTATAAGTGTATTATATGATTCTACTCATATTAATGTAATTGACATTACATGTTACAAATGAAATAATAAAATATGTTGGTATTTTATGGTGCAAGTGATATTAATTATAAGTGTATTATATGGTTCTAATCATAATTAATTAATTTACATTAAATGATATCACATATTTTGACGTTACATGGTAAAAGTTAATAATTATGACATAACCTGGTGCTAGCGATATATATATATATATATGTTATTGACATTAAACTCAATAATACCGGCATACATATTCTATTAACATTACATGGTATTATTGACATTAATATATTATTAATTTTATCAATTGCGTTGGCATTGCATGATACTAGTTAAACCAGTTATATTGTTATTACATAGTGCTAGAGATAGCATACAGTACACTTACCGCGGTTATTTACTGGTGTGATGCTTCTGATGTGAAATAGACTAGATGTTTACATAAGTCTACTTTTATACGTCCATTTCCATTGAAGTAGGATAGCCTATGACAGATGTACGACATATTATCAGCAGTATCTAATCAGTTACATCTTCAGATTTTAATTAGAACGTAAGCCGTAAAGTACGCACGGTTGAATAAAATTTTGGAGTTGTAGTATACATGAATCGAAAATTCGGCAAAACGTTCATATTTTGAAGGTTTTGAAATGTTTACTTCCTTGACTTTATTCAATCAAGCAATGTATTAATACTGTAAAATAATTGTTGTTTAATACAACGGTTTGATCTATAAAACTTTGAATGCCATTAGGCATAAAATGAATTCAAAATCCAACCTGCTCTTATATTTATTGGGGTCATGATGACTTCTCTTTTATTTTGGTACAGGCATCATCTCACTTACTATGTTATCATTTTGTATCGTGTTGTGATATTATTCTCGTGTATGGACCTTGTGATATATATATATTTTTTGATATTTTTTTTACTAGGGCAGATTAGACTGTAGAAAGCTGAAAACATGTATACAAATATCGCATTTATCGCGCATATATCGAATCACATTAAATGTGTATCTCTAATATATCTCTTATACTGTGCACGGGAACATTTTCGCTGCACTTTGATTTGCACCTGTATCGCCCTGCGTAGTTAGGGAGAATGTATCATGACATAATTTATCATTAGTGAACGAAATAATAACAGAAAGTAACACAGGGCGAACATGGATTTTTCCGGCGAAAGACGAAAGATGACTGGGTGAAAATTCCCCAGTAAACAGTATATCGAATAACAGTGATCGTGTTTCTGGAATGTCTCCAATCAAATTCACGATGGTCTCCGTTATCTATCATTACAGAAACGTAAACAGGTTACATTATCATCTTTGCAATTATTATGGAACAAGATCTATCGACCTCTCTCAATCACTTTAATAGTCCCGGACGGAGGCACTTCGGGTCTTAATATGGAAAGAAGCCAGAGTTTCAGAATAAACCCATCAGGTCTGGTAGGTAATTACCCAATACCTTTTCACTTCCAGTGGGGAATCGAACTCTTGTTAAATTGAATGTGAGCTATCCACTGAACCTCTCAACCTACCACAGTCACAAAGACAAACCATAAGATATATCTAATGAGGAAAGTTATGTAATGTTTCCGAAGAGCTCCTTCGTGAAAACAATAAAAGTAATGTAATATATATATTCAGTAAATGCGACTAGAACAACTGTGCATTCACGATGTGTTACCAAATGCTGTAATAGTATAGTAATTTATTCTTATTAAAACGAAATAATCTATTGTTTGGAAGGATCACCGCCGCCACTTTGATATAGTTGAGATCAATGGCGGCTCGTCTATGGTGCGTCATGTTTACCAATGTCTGCAGGGCTACACTGGACATAGATGACCAGTTAGTTGACGGGTGACCTAGTTTGACCGGTATAAAGGCTTTGCCTAAAGGTTTATGCCAGATATTACTGCGCCGTACTCAGTATCCAGCTGTTGCAGCCTACAGGTGCGTGTAATTAGTACTGATATACGGCGTGCAACAGGTGTATTTATACGTTTCTCATCTACCCATTTACATGTTAGCTATAATATAATTTCCTGAACAAGAGTATCTGGCGTCTGTTGAAATATCAAATAAGATTTGTAGTTCTTTCCTTTTCCTGCGGTCAAAAATGCGATATTTCATTTCAAATGATAAACGTTGTCTAGTTTAAAACATTACGTTGATGTCGGTCACTGGGTGCAATATATCAACCTAATGATAAATCTACTGAAACGAACGCAGCACCATTCACTAAATGGAAACTACAAATGTTTGTTAAAATTGAGTTGAAACGAGTATGAACCTATAGTGAAAATATTGATATTCAGCAACTCATTCGCAGATAACACTCAACGTTCAAAACTTAAATCAACCTTATAGGCAGAGATGTACATGCATCGGTGATATTAACGGCAATATAAATATTTATTAATAAAAACATTGATTACTTTTGTTCTGTTTCTTTGCAAAATTTATACAAAAATTCATTTAAAATCAAATGAGAATTTATTTTTAATGTTTTGGCCATTGTTCTCAAAAGAAATGTATTTTTTATGGCAATTATTATCAACAGATCTAAGGTTCCGCCTACTTATCCCACACTGGTTTTATGATTTTTAGAAGAAGAAAATCAGGGGGAAATGGCAATCAGTATGGATGCTGATCTTTCGACATTTTTAAAACCTTTTTTTTTAATTCATTATCCTTTATTTGTTGTGTATGTACATTCATACGTAGTCTCAATTCACATCCGACTTGTTGGATATAAAATTCTCCAAACTGTTTACATTTTGAAGGGTTAATAACATTCTATATCACCTACTTTTCCACAACTAAAGCAAGCTACTGTTATAGCAATCTTACAGTAGTGTGACCGCACAGCGACCGCACATCGTCCACACAGGGTGCACACAACCGTGCGATTTGGTACAATTTAGTAATCAATATAACGACCTGAAAATCAGGAAGGCTAGTATACAATAATGTTCACGATGTATATAAATTTCTCATCACAATAGTTCAGATTGTGTTATATTTTGCAATGCCTGTTACACATGTTTACAGTGACCGTTAGACTGTCGTCAATGTGTTGGATCCGAGGTAATAGAACAGGTAAGTATAATTTTGATGAGTGACCGGAGTTGTACCTGGCCTGTGCCTGACACAGATAGCTGACATGTGAAAATGAATTGAATCGATACCGTATGACCGTTATGAAAATACTACTGGACGTTAAGTATCATAGAAATATATTACAGATAGAAAGATAAGCGCATAGATCTAGCTAGAATTTCAAAACATACTTAAAGCTATCAAGTTTATATGTTTAAATACGAAACCGTATAAATTGTTAAGCCATTCTTCAATTAACACCAACCACGCTTGCTATCGCACAACGTTCAGCCATCGTGCCAACACATATCACTGTAGTAAATAAAATAGCTTACACGATACGCGCAACAATCGCTGCTTCACAATGACCTCGTCTCGTGGTGCAGATGCGACTGTTACCGTATTACCATTAACGACATACTGAACTTGCTCCCCTAAAAATTATTCATATCAAGAATATATCAATTAAGGTCCTCTAGCATATTCAGACGGTATGCTAGCTTGCAGACCTATCGCCACTTTATGAGAAAAATGAATATGAAAATACCTGCTGTCATTATCTTAACAGGTTAGCTGCTTAGCTGATTATGCTGATAGCCCACCACCCGCCCCTCCCTCTTAGCTGTGTGCTGTGGAGGTTGATGATATCACTGTAAACTTTTAAAATTAATTACTTTATCCCGACCAAGCTTACCAGCACACCTTTAAAGGTTAAAAGGTTAAACGCTTGGTCAACTAAAAACATATAGTAAATTCATATAATACTTTTGTTCTTTTGCCATATGTAGATACATAAAAATGATCAATAACTGCATACATGATTACTCCTAATTACCACTGATAACCGTAGAAGACCTCCTTGCATAACACCAGGTTGAGTGACGGAAGCATCCTCACAAAATGACAGATAAATATTACAGGCGAATGTTATTTTGAAAATGAATTATGAAAGTGTATAAAGAATAAAATGATTGTTATTAGGATACTAAATATGTCATATTGGTACACATGAAGTAAGCTTAGTAATACTAGAAAAAACATATTAAAAATTCACAAAATTTAAAATGTAACCAACATTGTCAACTTGCCTATATATAGTTACAATGGTAGTCTATATTTCAAACTTCTTTAAAAACTTTCCATATATATATTCTGTCTACAGAATCATTTGTATGTAATATCGAAACCGGTGAAGTACTTTACATGCCAAACATGATCAATGCCCAATTTCACATAATTTTGGAGATTTCATTATCAATGTTTATTATGGTAAATACCGATACATTTTCTGTTTTTGTATCATACCAAAACACTTTATTATATTATGCATGTTTTAAAGTTATGTACAGCAGTAATAACCCAAGAATATGTATTCTGCCAAAGTAATCTTTCCTCTGGAGAACTACTTCAGGTTGAGATTATGTTATAGAAAAAGATATGCAATTATATATAAACAATAAAATCATCTTAATAGTAAACTATTATGCACTTTATTATATCCCCTGCAACGAAGTTAGGGGGTATACGGGAATCAGCTTGTCTGCCAAAGTTTGTCCGGACAACTCCTTCTAAAGTAATAGACAAATTTCAACGAAAGTTCCCGGATATGATAACTTCCACCTGATATTGTGAATCCAGGTATATTTTTTTTTCAATCTGACCCTTTTTACGGAGTAATGGCCCTTTTTTGAAAAAAATTTGTCCAGACAACTCCTTTAAAACTATGGGGCCAATTTCAACGGAAGTTTACAGATATGGTACCTGTCCCCTAACATTGTTCATCCAAGTAGTATGTTTTTATTACGACCTTTTAAAAAGGAGTTACTGTCCTTTATTGAAAGAAAACATTTGTCTGTCTCATTAACTACTTGGCCGATTTCAATGAAAGTTTACTACATATATGGTAATTACCCCCTGATGTCGTGCATCAGGGTATTATTTTTTAATTTCAACCAATTTCAGAGAGTTATGGTATTTTGTTAAGGAGGGAGTACAGGAAGTATATCAGCGACCTATATACTTAAATAATTACTGTTGGTGGACTATGGGTTGCTTTGCAATACTTTGCCTTAGTTAGCCTTTAGCTTACAGTTCTGGTTTATATAGGAGCGAAGGTATATGTATTAGTTAGCCTTTGGTTTACAGTTCTAGTTTATATTTTATTTTGCCTATTGTCCATTAATTAAACAAAATATGTAGGAATTTTATTTTATGTCGTTAGCTCTAAACAAATAAAACAAGGAAGGCTAATCTTGTCTGACTCCCCATACAAAAAATAGTTTAGCACATTTGATTTTTGTGACTCGA